ATTTTGTGTGATGTTCCAACTTAAAAAGTGAGGTGTCGCATTTTTTATCGCTCCTTTCAGCCTATTTTTCTATTGGTCCGATTAACTTTCTAATGTTAAACCTTGTATTTTAGGTAAAGGTTTCTTTTGCAGTACATCAATAACCATTTAATAAACTGGTAATAACATAGCAAGTTACACTTTATTACTAGGTAACAAGAAAAAATACTTTTACTAAGTGATGTGCTTCAAACTTATAGGTGGACAAGGTCAGATGTTTCAGATTTCTAACTGTTATTACCAGGAAACTCAAAAAATGAATGTGTTATCTGTTAAAATGCAGTTTAGTACTTGGTATACCTAGAAGACATGAAGTGAATCTTCTTAACTAAACTTTTATTTATATGTAACTTGAGTTTAGTTTAATATTTGTGGGAGGTGGCCAATAATAGAAAATGTAATGTGGTAACCTAATGGTAATTAGAATGTTACATAGTAACATACAATTGTAATATTTATTATGCTGGTTATTATAATGAAATTATGTACCTTAATCTTGGGGTAATTACCCCAAAAAAGTTTTTCTTGTTACCAAGTACTGTAGTGCGACTTGCTATGAAATTACCGTGTTATTACATGGTTATTGATGTACTGTAAAAGAAAGAGTTACCGTATTTTATGCAGCTCTAACCAGAAAATTATCATATTTACCTAAAAAGATTTAGTAAAATAATTCATTTTACAAGATTCTAACTGTAGACTGAACAACAATAATTTAAAATCCGTTTTAAGAAAATTTCCTTCTTGATAGCTTTTATAGATTTCAACACTCTAAGTGCTTCCTGATAGTAAAAATCTCCATAGCCTCTTTATCTAATCTGCTTGTAGCTCAGAGCAGCAGAGAATTTAGTCTCCTTTGGTTTCCAGGGAGCTGTTTGACAACAACACAGCAAAACTGCTTCTTGACTCCCCCTGAAATATGCACAAGCTCATGGGATGTTACGTGATGAGAAGCAGTTGCTTCCTATTAATGTCTCTCTTTGCTTTCTGTGCACAGGTGGAATATCCTTTTTGTCAAACCAGTTGGGCACAAACAGGATTTTATTGAACGTAAGAATGTGTGTGTGTGTGATGAATCTATTATCAAGGGTGTGCATGCTGCCGAGTGTAGTCTATAATTAGCGTAATGTGACGCTTAATAACAGCTGTAAAATTTTATTATTTTAATAAGCAGTAGTCACATTATAAAAACTCAATAACTCAGTACTAGCCTCAGTCTATTACTTAGTAGTGAGGCCAGTAAAAAATTAACTATATTAGATTATTCCCATTTTGCATCTTGTAAGCACTGATGCGTACTTAACTTTGAGTTTGTTTCAGGATACATACATGACTTTTATTTTACAATTGTTTTTTTTAAGATTTGACATTATTCTATAGAGATTTTCACCAACTATACTTTATTGTTAGTCTCTTGCCTAACAATAAAAAGAGAGTTTATACAAGGTTCCATAGGGTGTTTTAAGAAATGAAAATGTCATGTAAAAGTCTTGTCTTGTCTTGGAAAGCTGATTAAATTGACACTGACCAAAAATCCTTTTAGAATTAATGAATGGAGGAGAATGAAAACCAGATCAAACTATACTTCAGTAAAATTACACAATTCAACACATTAAATTGGCATTACATTTTATTTTTTAACATTTAACGAAAGGATAAAGGTTTGTAAGACCGATACAAAACAGCACGACAATCATTAATCATGCTTCAGAAAAGAGCATTAAGGTTTTTCGATAAGTCTTGGTACCTGGAACACTCCAGCCTATTATATAAAATTATTAGGATTTTTAATTTTCTGACTTTGTAAATATAAGAAAAAAAAGTCTGCAAAACAGCTACAATGTTGAACAGTCCCCATTTAATCTAACAGCAACCCCACTCATTGTATAACAGCTCTAGCCATATCCACTGTCAACCAATGGGGGTCTTTTTCTAAAAATCTGCACAAGTGCTTCATACTTAAAGTGAAGTTGTTGCTTATTGGGTTATTTAATTTAGGCTTAATTAAAACAAATAATTCAGACTAATCTATGGGTTTAAACATACCTAAAAAAATGAACATGTTACACTACTACAACACATTTGAGTAAGCAGAATTTTTTACACAATAGTGAGTTTTAAGTTCTCAGTTTAATTAATAACTTTGAACATTAAGGTTTATAGTGCTTAATGATCCAGAATTCAAAAACTGGCTTAAAAATCTCAGAATTTTTAACAATTTTTTGGTTGTTTTGCAAAGTCTGCAGAAAAACTATAAATGTTTCCATGAACGGTGTTAGCAAATCACACAAAGCATATTAATTCCATCACAATTCAACAACAAACAAGTTACCAGTAAGGCGACAGACAGTAGACTGAAATTATAGCCTAGATCTCTTTTACCCCTCTAAAGATGGAGTTGAGGAGCTGTTTGAAAATATGTTTATTTTCTGACATGAGGAGGTCTTAGTCGACACATGCTTGATTTTGTATTGGTAGTAAAAATATTGCAGAGGTAGTAAAAAGTTGGTAAAATTGGCGCTGGACTTGGTGTATTAACCCTGTTATCAGTATTATTACTACCACTTATTTAATTTAAATATTACTGTAAAGATACTTTATGCACTTTATTTCTAAGACTTTTTGTTCACAGTTGATCACAAATGAGTTCCTTAATGAATTGGAGGTGATGGGAGGCATGTCGCAGGATAATAAGGGATTTACTTTGGTTTATACATCCGCCTTTACATCCACAAATACAGCTGTTAATATCTGATGTTACATAAATAAAAACAAGTTTTGAATAACTAACATCTGAAGCTGAAATTTTACCTCCCTGGTTGCTTTATTAGTTATACTTAAATGTTTTCCTGTTAACGTTTATATGGTGAAGCCAAATTGCTGTAGCCTGATCCAGGCATTTATTTTTTTTTAAATGCTCATCTATTAGTTTTATACAAAATGGTCTTGAAGGAGATAAAGTGTTAGTTTTATATCTGTGGAGACAAATGTGTTGTATCAGCTGTTTTTTGAGAAAGGGCAGAAATGATAGAAAGGCAACAGTAGCTGATATGAACACTTGTTACAACTAAGGAGTTCAGAATATTGTTTCCTCAATGGCCTTCAGAGATAAAATTGAATTAACCCTTTAAAGCCAAATGTATTATATTTGATCCTTGAGTTTTTGTAACCTCTGCATCATCAGTGGGATGTTTTTTTTTCCTTGAAACCCTGACTTACATAATCACACACATGTAGTGAACGGAAAACATATAAAAGATTGTATAGAAATGCATAATGTATTAAAATTTATGCAAATAAATTATGTAATTTAAAGGATACAAAATTTATATTGTTGTTTCATTTGTCAGGAAGTTCAATGATAATTCTACTTTTGGAAAATTAGAATCTTCTGTCAATTATTTCCTGGTTCAGGCTTTAAAGGGTTAAATAGAGTGAATTGAAGAAGATGGAAATGAGCGCCATACAAGCTGACAAACCTTCAGGAGCTGACTGTCTGAATGTGGTCTAAGAACGACTTCAGTGAAACCTTGTTGAATCTAAACAATGAGGAAGTGAAGGCACTTAAGGCAGAAGTTAGTCATAACACTTTAAAAGCAAGCCATACCTAAATAATGACTCTAACTTTATAATTACCTCTTAGCATAATTTTTCAAGATGGTGGATTCTTATTTTATGGGAAATTAAAGTCCCTGACAGGAAACAAAAAGGAATTCTCGACGAAGTACCGCCTAGAAAATTGGACATTGCAGTGCATCCCTATATTCAGTGTCTCAACTGACTACCACATATAAAACAGAGAAAGATCCACTAATAAAAACTTGGAAAGTTGATTTCTTACGACACTCAGAGTACTTTTCTAAAAGCTTGAATTGCTGCTAGCACCACAACATCAAACACATCCCACCAATTCTCTGACCTCAGATAAAATGTGATACGTGTCTTACGTCACAGGTTCGAGCTCTGACTTCCAGCACTAATTTCCGCTACCTTCTAGGATTTAGCTTTGCTTTACAACATGTGAAGCACAATCAGTTGTCCAATTTCATTAAAAAAGGGTTTTGTTTTTATAAAGTTAGGTTTGGAAATAAATCTTAAACCAAGCCTGAAAAAAACTATTTTAGCTTAACTATTTTATGACTAAGTTTACTCTGATTTTAGGTATGGTATAAAACATGAAGTAGCTTTCACTTACCACCTGATGAAATAACACAGTGCCGTCTGATGCTTGAATGCCCTCTTTCTATGTGGCTTCTTTCCCTTCACACCCTTTTACTCTCCATATATTTTCTCTTTCTTTTAAGCCTCTCCTCTCTGCCCTTTCTCATTCGCTGCTGCTGTGTCGTTTGTGGCAGAAGGATTCCTCTCATATCTGGGATTTGTTCTCACTATAAATAGACGAGTGATACACAGAAGGGACCTGCTTTCCATCCACACTCACACACTCACTCTCTCAAATGGACACACTCGTGGAGACGGATCAAAACGCATCCAAACAGCTGCAGAAAAGGCCTTAAACAGTCTGTAAAAAAATCTGATTTACAGCTGAACTCCTTAGTTTCTCTATAAACATTAGGAAGAAACCAAATGTGCACATTTTTTATTTAAATGAGTGGATAATAATGTCAGATGCTGCTGTCAACTGCTTTGCCTAGTCAAATTTAAATAGCAAACAAACTTTTTAAAGTTTAAACACCAAAAATATAAGTTTCAACTAGAAATGTGCCTACTTATATGATATAATACTTTTATAATATTAATGGCTAAGATGCATGAATATAAATACACATTTTAATCTCAGTGGCTAAAAACGCCATGGCCTAAATTTGCTTTGGCATACAGACAGGCAAATTATAGGCACTAAGGTTTCTTATTTAAAATCTACATTGATGCACAACCACAGAAGTCGTCCGACAGACTTTAAGGCTTGTGTGAACATGTGTGTGTCTGTGCTGTCTTACCTCCTATTGTGCGTGGCTGATCTGGCCTGCCTCACGTTCTCCCTGAGGTCCTTTTCAGCTACCTGACCTGTTTCCGCTCGTCCTGATTGGCTCAGAGAGACACGGGACTCCTTCGAGTGTGGAACCCGACCCAGCATCAGACAAGTTAGAGTGTTTAGCCTATATGTGAATGTGTGTGTTGCCGAGTGTATTTCACATACCTTTTTTTTTCAGGTTTTGTCAAAATATATCTTCATTCATCACCTCAAACCACTGGGATCCTTTAGGGTCAGTCCTGCCTGACAGATGGAGCTTTTGTGTGCTCAGGTAGTAAAATGAGAAGCCCTAAACTAGAGCCTTGTTATATATTCCAAACTATGCAAATACAGCCCACATGCTGTTCTCACCTGTTGGCAAGGACAGTCTGGTGTTTTCGAGATAAAGATACTCACCGCAGACTGTGGTAAATTGGATTTTATGCCAAAAGAAGGTTTCACTTTAGCAGATCATTATCACATAATGCAGTTATATATTTTAAAGAATGTGGTCCACTTTCTATGTCCTCTGCATCACTGAACAACATTGCAAAGGGAAAACTTTTAATTCATTCCCTTTCACAGATTGATAATTTTGTTGATGGGGTTACTACTTCCCTGCGTACTGCCTTGGACAATGTAGCCACATTCAGACTTTAAAAATAGAAAGCATGCTCCCTGGTTTAATGCGGAGTTGCACATTTTTAAGCAAAATGCTAGAAAACTGGAGAGAAAGTGGTACTCTAGATGTCTATTCCTACCTAGTTTACCGCTGTAGGAAATGACCCTTCGTAAAGCAGTATTTTTGTATTCGTTAATAGAGAAGTCTCATCCTACAGTAGATGTCTTTTTAATACAGTTGCCAAACTCACCCAGAGCCATAGCTCTGTTGAACTGTCCATCCCACCTGCTCTTAGAAGTAGTGATTTTATGTGAATCTTTATAAATAAGATTGATTCTAATAAAAAAAAGATCATTCGCACCCCTCTAAATATGATTGGTTCATCTCCAGAAGGTGAGGCAGTATCTGAGGCAACTATAAAATCTGAACCGGGTTTAGACTATTTTGATCCAGTTGAACTTTTAGAGTTAGCAAAAAAAAAATCTTCAACTTGTATGTTAGATCTTCTTCCAACCAAGTTATTTAAAGCAGTATTCCCTCTTCTCCACCTGTATTTTACATGTGATTAACCCATCCCCGTTATAGCGATATGTGACTCAGGCATTAAGGTAGCTGTAATTAAACCTTTACTTAAGAAACCATCTCTTGGCCCAGATTAATTGGTCAATAATAGAACAATATGTAATTTTCTTTTTAATCCATTTTTTTAAATAGTTGTCAAAAATGTGTGACCACTTACACCATAATGAACTTTTTGAAGAGTTTCAATATGGTTTTAGAAATCCTAATACTGAAACAGCTCTGGTGAAACTCACTGATGACATTCTCAGGGCCTCAGATAATTGACTTCTGTACCATCTTCTCCTGTTAGATCTCAGTTTGTTTTTTTGTTCATATATATATGTTTTTTTTTTTATTTTCATCTGAAAATCTCTGGTTTGAAGGCATCCATATGTAGAAATATTCCTTATAAGAGGAGGGAGAAATGCAAAAACTGCTCAATACACGTTATCATGAACACAATACATAAAAAAAAAACAAATCATGCACTGTGCACTTCTTTTTTTTTCATTAGTCTCTTGTGTTTTATTAACTTCATCCTAATTTGATCATCTATAAATGTACATGTCTAGGATTAAGCCATTTTCCAAATGTATCTCCATTACTTAGTAAAGGCTTTGGGTATTTGGATGTGAGGTGCAGGGGGATACGAACTGACGAAACCCTCTGGCATTGAACCATTTGCAGTTTAATGTTTCCCTGATTACATTTATGGCTTAGTGAGTCAGTGTCTGAGCTGGGTTGCTTATTTTGACCGTCTTACACCATCACTATGTTTAATGATATCCTTATGTTCCCCTGGCCTTTTGACGGGAAGAAATCCAACATCGGTATTCACATTTTCATAGTCAGCTTGGGCAAATTAGGCTTTTTTTTTTGCTGCAGCTCTCTTTATCATTATTTTAAATGTTCTGTCATTAAATCGAAAAATTGTGTTTCAGACATCAAAACATTGTTCATCTAACAGCAAAACTATAGACAATGAGTCATTTTAGGTTATGATGTGCCTTACATTGTGAAATGACCTCAGCTGTATCTTAAAAAAATATTCATTCTCTTTGAACTAATTCACACTTTCCTTGTGTTTGCCACCAAATTCCATGCATCGTATTGAGATGTTATTAGAAAAATCACAGAGAGGCATATATGTATGGTAGCGAATGAAAACAGCTGTGTTTCATACAAAAACAAATCCTTCAATGCTGCACATATTTCTATTTAATCCTCTTGTGTCAATATCTAGTTAAAGAACATTTTTAGGCCACATTTGTCATACTTAAATGGAGAACATGATTTCCAAATTTTGTCACAAATTCTGATTTAGCATTAGATCAGGACTTTGCCCAAGCATTTCTAAAACATGAACATTATTTATTTTAACACACTCTATTGTAGATCTGGCTGTTTTGATTCCTTGTCTTCCATCAGAAAAAAACAACAAATCCCAACAGCCTCCCATGTATTTTACTATGAGGGCGGTGTTTTCAGGGAAATGTTCAGTGTTGGTTTTCAGTCCAGAGTGTTTTGCATATGAGCCAAAAACTTTCACTTTCATCTCAGCTGACCCTACGGTACCTATCTTGTATGTATACATCCAGGTCTTGGCAGGTTTTTAGTTAGTACCACAAACATTCCATTAATAGATGAGAATAAATGATCTAAAGCTTAAGTTTTATAGCCCAATATTTCCCCTTGGCCTGTCTATTTTATGTGTATTTGTCTCCTGAAACCATTTTCATACTAATTTTCTTTAACAAAAGACATCTGAGACCTACACAGATTTACTGTTTTATTAAAATACTTTCAAAAGTGGACTCTATTTATTTATTTTATTAATAAATAAATATTTTTGTTTAAGCTGCCATATGTGGACGCATTTCATATTCTGTATGTATCCCATGTACCTTTTTCTTCCTTTGGTACCTTCTGTAACGAGTACATTTCTCCACTGTGAGAGATCAGTAAAGTAAATCAATCGATCAATCAATCATAGTACCGTAATTGCATTTTAGATTCCAATAAAACACATATGTTAATGTTTATAATGTGAGAAATATAATAAAAAAAAACTATAGGTGAATGAGTATTTTATCATGAAATATTAAAAAGCAAAACAGAAAACTAAAAAGATTTATTTTTGCATATAACCTATCTATAAGAATGTAATATAATTAAAACGTTTGTATTTTTAGAACAAATGTTTATGAATATTCTAAATTAGGTCATTTTTACTGACTTTTTTTTAAAGTAATATAATGCAATACTTTTTATTTACTTGTTTTTTTGTTTGTTTTTTTTGTCAAAGCTTAGTCTTTTTTGACCCAGAATCTGCAGAGCACTTACAGAACGCTAGGTGGCAGTAGCGCGCTGCTCGTTTGCCGCAGACAAAGCCGAAGAAGGTTAACCCGGTGGCTCGTGTGTGTTTCACACCATTGTAAACAAACCCACCTGCATGATTTTGAGCATTTAAGTTGAAAATGCCGGGTTTCTTTGGCTACTTTAAAGCCGTCTAGCTGCGGCCGTGCTGCGTGCTCACCCGGCGGGTAAAAGAAGTGATGGAGGAGCTGCAGTTCGGTGGGACGGTTCCACGGAGGGTCCTCTGACAGAGCTGCACCATGATCCCGGTGTCCCTGCTGGTGTTCGTTATGGCAGGCTGGTGTGCTGTCTACCTGGCTGACACACTGCTGAGGGTAAGATTTTAACCTTATTCATATATCATTAAACTATCTCTGCTTACAGAGGGTTATTTTAAGGGTAAGGAGAGAGGTTCAGCCATGTTTAGCGGCCTCAGTTAGCTGTTTATACCTGTTTAGGTTAGCATCCATGGTGCTAAAGGACTATTTTCCTAACATTAGAGATAATAATCAACTGTTCAGCTCTAGTTCAAAATATGACGTAGATAAACCGGTCAGAAATGCGCTAAATAATTATATATTAACTAAATATTAAATTTAGATACAAGAGGGGTTTAGTAAAACCTTTATATGAAAAACTACGACATACATATATATACATGTATACACATACATAATATACATATACACACACACATTATTTATATATATATATATATATATATATATATATATATATATATATATATACACACACACACACATATATACCGGTATATACATAAGCTAAACACCAATGGTGGAGTGCCAGTCAGATGTTTGTGAATGTCAATGTACCAACCTGCGCTGCTGTGCTTCGAAACATTATGCACAGATGTATGTGTAGATTAACAGACTCTGCAAACAGCATCATTCAGACTCAGACCAATCCTGTTCAAAGCTCAGTGAGATCCTTCTCCAGTTTGTGGAATCATTGGCGCTTTAGTTTATATGTCAGTGATTGACTATTTTATTATATATTTTTATTTTTGTAATCATTATTCTTGTTATTGGTCTATTCATGGACCATAATTGTGTCTAAACAAATAGATTGATTGACTACTTACAACTTGATTTCTTCTTTTTATCTATAAACACACTTGCCTGTTAAATTTTGTTTGTATAAACTCTGTGAATACAAATTGACGATAAAAGTTGCCTAAAGTCTTACGGCTGCTGGGAGGAAGGATCTGTGATAACGCTCCCTGGTGCATTTAGGGTGCAGCAGTCTGTCAATGAAGGAGGATTCCAGTTCAGCAACAGCTTCATGCATGGGGTGGGAAACATTATGCAGCAGAGATGTTAATTTAGTTAGGATCCTTTTGTCTCCCAGTTTCTGCACAAAGTCATCCAGTCACAGAGCTGATATTCCTGATCAGCTTATCCAGCCTCTTTCTCTCAGCTACAGATAAGCCACTGCTCCAACAGACAGCTCAATAGAAGATGGCTGACGCTTTATCAGAGCCATAGAATGTCTTTAGGAGCACCCTACACTGCAAAAGTCCTCAGTCTCCTCAGCAGGAGATGTCTGCTCTGACCATTCTTGTAGCGAGCCTCAGTGTTGCGAGTCCAGTCCTGTTTGTTGTTCTGGTGAACACCTAAATACTTATGAGTCCACTATCTCAATTTCTGTTCCCTGGATGTTCACCGGTGTATTGTTGATGATGTAAGTTGATGTATGATGTATTTATCCGTGTAATATAAAACAAAATGTGTTTTTTTTTTTTATTTCCCCCGTCTTCCTGCAGTCATCCGCCTCACACCGGATCAGTTACGAGTCATGGCTCGCCAGCCGAGGCTTGATGTTGTCTCCTTTCCATGTCAGATGGCAGACCACCATGTTCAACCGGCTGTTTGCTTACTGTGCCCGCATCAACCCCCGAGCCCTCTACCTTTGGTGAGGAACATTGCACAGTCACTGTAAACTTAGCAGCCCATGCTTCATTTGATCCACATTAAATTTGTAAGAATTAAGTATTTAAAGAAATTGCATACACTGTTTTCTTTTATTGGTTTACTAGAACAATCTTTTGTCATCATTGTTTGCTCATTTTCACAGCAGCTAAACACTTTATTCTTATTTCTTTCCTTGATTTTTGCAGAAGAACCATTTGAACTAACTGATGCGATGTGTGTTCTAAGGTTTAACAGTGGTCTGGTGTTTGGTATCGTTGCCATGCTGGGATCAGTGGTGCTGCTGGTGAAGACGCTGCAGCAGACCTATGCTCAGATGACCTCTGACAATCCTAGGATGGGTAGTCAGCAGACTCTGCAGGTGGTGGTACGTTCATTTATCACTACTTCTTTATGTTTGTACTCATGTTGATTAGTGGACTTAGTGGATTAATGGACGCCTTACTTCGATTTGGGCAGGAAAACTATTCACTATCAGTATGTGTTTTATTATTTATTCAAGCTACATGGTGTAATGTTTAGCCACTAGGGGCGCTAGACCTGTACCATCCAGCTTTAGCTCCCCTGGACCAACTGGGGACACTGATCTGCGGCAAAATGAAGCAGCCTCCCTCGCTGTTTGGTAGCAAGTAAACAACCAAACCCGCTGCTAAAGCATGTGTGAGTAAACTCCAAATCATGCAGGCAGAAAAACAAACAAAAAAATGAAACAGAAAAACACTGCAAAGAAAAAAAGAAACAAGCTTCCACAGGGTGCAAACTACGAAACGAACTGCAAAAACACATAGGATGCAAACTCAACATAAAAAAAAAATGCAACATATAACACTGAAATAGGAGCAAAAATCTATCAGCAAAACAAATATAAAGGGAAAAATTAAAACATCCATCAGTTGATGCATCCATCCCTCCCCATTATTTATTGTAAACTTTCAGTTAATAATTTAAATGTTTTTAAGAAGGACAGAGATTTCTGGAAATTTTAGATATGAAGGGTTTATTAAAATCAAAATGAAAAATGATGTTAGGCTCATTTCCTCTGCAGTCTCTCCCATTTATTTTATTAATCCTAAAGTCAGATAGGCGGGCACTAATGTTCCCTTTAGACCTGTGGCTTTGATTCATGGGAAGCTATTAGCAGACTCAATATCTGAGAGTTCATTTTGGAGGAGAGGAAACCTCTTGGCTCAGGCAGCAGGATGATAAAATGCAGACTTTACAGTAAAGCTCTCGATCAGCAGAAAACATGGAAGGAAAAGTGGAGCAGAAGGTTTGAATAAATGTGCAGGAACATAACGATCCAGATGAAGCTGATTATTCTCCAGAGGATGATGTGTTTCCTTTTTTGGCCCCTCGTGTGTCCCCTTCAGGTCCCTGGAGTGAACCTGCCCACCAGTCAGTTGGCCTACTTTTTCATCGCTCTGCTGCTCAGTGGAGTCATTCATGAGCTCGGACACGCCGTGGCAGCACTGAGGTATCCGGCACCGTTACTGTGACAACCAGCAGCATGAGCTGCACTAATATTTGCTTCTCTTAAACATTTTGTCTATTTTATGTTTCCCTCAGATACAGTTTGGAGCTTTCTGTTAATATTTAATGTTTCTTCTCTTAAACCTGATGTAAAAGACACATTCTCGCTGAATTTGTCTGCATTGTTCCCCAGTAGTATTTGCAGAGAGGAGTTCATATGATTGTTTGATCATTGACGTTAAAACTGTGTCATAACACTAAGTTTAGCTGCTATTTCTCTGAGTAAAGACAGCTGGCTCGTAAATAGGTCATTTACTGCACAGATTCCTCATTAAAGGCTCCTGATGTGCTTCCATTACCATCTGCTGTCATTCTTTATTACCGTATTGGCCTGAATATAAGACCAGTTTTTTTTTTTCAATAAAAAAAATTTAAAATGTGGGGTCGTCTTTTTTGTTTTGTTCCTAAAAACTGTTCCTGGAAAGAGGGGGTGGCTTTATAATCAGAGTTGCCTTATATTAGGGTCATTACGGTATAAGTCTCACCATTAAACCAGGTTGGTTAAATGTGTGGAGGATATTTAAAGGCAGCATGTCTTTCAGTTTCTTCTTTTAATTCATAATTTAGTCACTCTGAACATTTAAACTCTAGTTTTGTGTATTTTTCAAGTAGCTGTTGTTGTTTTTTGATAACTTATTGCTGGCATTCTGTGTTTCCAGGAATGTTTTATCCATTTCTGGAGCCTGTAAATGTTAAAGTCTCCTCTGTGTTTAATGTCCCCCCCCTCCACAGGGAGTCTGTGAGAGTGAATGGCTTTGGCATGTTTGTCTTCGTCGTGTATCCTGGTGCGTTCGTGGACCTCTTCACCACACACCTCAACCTCATTTCGCCTACTCAGCAGCTCCGAATCTTCTGTGCAGGTAATGAAGTAAATCTTCTCGTCATGAGGGCAGTTTTACATGGTTATTTATTATTTAAGTTTATTATAGTTCTATAATTTTATTCCAATTTTGCTTTTATTTGACTTATTTAATTTTATTGTTTTAGTTTTTTTTTTTTCTGCATTTATTTGTATAATAAAAACAAAGTGAAAATCAAAATTTTATTTTATTTTAGTCTATTCTAATTCGCCCTCCCTCCTGCCCTTACTATCTTGCGCCCCCTCCTGGCACTATTCTTTACAGCAGCTTTCTGCTGGTTTGCCAGCTGATCTAATCACATCTATTAATCACAGTTATTAGGAACACTTTGTTTTGGCTTCATAGGTCGACCAATAAAGTTCTTGCCGGCGGACAGATGCATCCCATCAAATCTGTTCGGTTTCAATTAGGATAATAGCAGCTGGATAAACGGATTGGCAGAGAAAAGCTGTTAGTCATGCGTGAATGTGACCGATTTCTACTCACTGTAGTGGGTCTGTGGGAGCTGAGGACAATCTCATTGATATTTCTGTAGTTTTACTTAGAAAATGCAGGTAATGGGCAGAAGTTTGCATTTTAAAGAATGCTAAGTAATTACTGTGAATAGATTTTAATAAAGAAAGTAAATTATAAGATTTTAATCATTTAAGTAATTAAGAACTCCATTAATTATTGACTTGTTTGTATTCAACCTTCCTCTGTCTCATTAATCATGGGTACGCCATGCTTCACAACCTTTCTGCTTATTTACTGCTTGTTAATTTGTTGCCTTTCCCAAACACCTTGGTATATAAGTCTCTGTTTTTTGATAGAAGTTCTCTTTAACAGTCTATTTGAAGTTATTTGCTCTGTTCTTATATGAAATCTTGATCTGCAGCACTTAAATGGTTTATATATATATATATATATATATATATATATATATATATATGACTGGATAATACTGTAGTATCAACATACACTGCCTGGCCAAAAAAAAAGTCGCCACCTGGATTCAACTAAGCAAATAGGTACGAGCCTCCTATTGGATAATTACTGCATGGGCAATTATTTTTCAGCTGGCAACAAGTTATTTAACCCCAACTGGTGCAACGACTTGCTTCTCATTTACTAAACAACCATGTCGAAAGACACATCCCGTGGTCGTGGAAAAGATGTTAGTCTGTTTGAGAAGGGTCAAATCATTGGCATGCCTCAAGCAGAGAAAACATCTAAAGAGATTGCAGAAACTACTAAAATTGGGTTAAGAACTGTCCAACGCATTATTAAAAACTGCAAGGATAGTGGGGACCCATCATCTTCAAGGAAGAAATGTGGCCGGAAAAAAATCCTGAGTGATTGTGATCAGCGACTATTTAAACATGTGGTGAGATCAAATCAAAGAAAAACAACAGTAGAACTCAGGGCTATGTTTAATACTGAAAGTAAGAGCATTTCCACACGCACAATGCGAAGGGAACTCAAGGGATTGGGACTGAACAGCTGTGTAGCTGTAAGAAAACCACTAATCAGTGAGGCTAACCAGAAAAAAAGGCTTCAATTTGCTAGGGAGCATAAAGATTGGACTGTGGAACAATGGAAGAAGGTCATGTGGTCTGATGAGTCCAGATTTATCCTGTTCCAGAGTGAATGGTGAATCAGGGTAAGAAGAGAGGCAGGTGAAGTGATGCGCCCACCATGCCTAGTGTCTACTGTACAAGCCTGTCGGGGCGGTGTTTTGATCTGGGGTTGCTGCAGTTGGTCAGGTCTAGGTTCAGCAACAGTATGTGCTCAAAGAATGAGGTCAACTGACTACCTGAATATACTGAATGACCAGGTTATTCCATCAATAGACTTTTACTTCTCTGATGGCACAGGCATATTCCAAGATGACAATGCCAGGATTCATCGGGCTCAAATTGTGAATGACTGGTTTAGGGAGCATGACACATCATTTTCACACATGGATTGGCAACCACAGAGTCCAGACCAGACCTTATTTTATTTTCTACTTTACAGTTAATTTAGTAATCAAATAAAACCTCTTTGTAAATTCACATACTTCAATAAACAAGCGTTTGAGCTCAGAAACTGAAATATGCTGCTGTCCTCTTCGCAAAGTCTCTCTTGTTTACACTAAGATGGACTTTATTGTCATTTTGTACACACAGTGTGTATATACATTTCCATTTGTAAAGTGCAGCAGTGATAAAACGTAACCATAAGACTGGTATATGATTTAGTTCCATCATTCAGCGCTTTAGTTACAGCGCTCTCGCGGAAGAGATTTTAGATCTCAGTGGGACCAACCTGGTTAAATAAAGGCGAAATAAAATAGAAAAGAAGCTTATTAAATACACATTTTAAATCAACTATATATGACAACTTTGGTAATGTTTGATAATAAACGGACTGATAAGTGGTCTGCAGAAGGTGCTTAATATTAGATAATCTTTTATTATTTATTTATGGAAAATGTTTTTTTATTTTTTGTAGAATTTTGGCTTAATTACTCTTTTGAGTTGATTTTATTTGAACAAATGACAAGTTTAGACTCTATGTACTTAAATAGTTAACTAATTCAATAATTGATTAATTGAAATTAATAGTATCAGCCCTAAATCATATTACTAGACCCGAGGATAAGAAAGGATAAGAAAAGCTGAAAAAAGCTTGAGATAGGAGGAGAAGTTCACCTTTTATTGACAAACTGGTCTTTAAGAAGCCATGTGGGAAAGAATGACGGTCCAATCAAAGGCAACTGAGTCTTTGGCAAGACCATCAATTACATATCAATGGATCCTCTCCAAAAAAAAGGTCTGAGTGGTGTGAATACTTTTGAAAATACTCTTTTGAAGTTAGAACCAAATATATATCATCAGGAAACCAATTTTTAACTAGTGTTTCTTTTTTCCTCATAAATTGACCTTTTAGAAAACAACCAGTCATACAAGCCATAATCTAAGCCCTGCAACTACACTTTTCAGCCACCAGAGGGCAGTAAAGAACCTGACTGATTGTCTGTCCCTGTGTGGCCAACAAGTGGCTTTTCTGAGGAGATAATAACAGCCTCAGACGAGACGCGGAGGCACGTGATCCACCGGGAGGAAGCTATTCCCATCAGGGGATTGGTGACATAACAGCCTGCTGTTTGTTTGTTTGTTTCTCTGTGTGAGATTGGCCTTTTACATCAGGGAGCCTCGCATCAAATACATTATTTACTCCTGTAGACACAGTTTAATAGCTTGTTTACTCTGTAACAACACCAGCGTATCGATGCACGTAGGTCTGAAATTAACAGTATGCTTTCCCATCTAATTATGATGAAGCCCATGTTTTATTTTATTTTTCTGCTATGAAAGTCATTTCCTTTTCCCAGGAAAATGTAGCTGCATCTCCAGCTCACTCAGATAATCTTTTGGGCCTCAAACTCATCAGACCATGAGACGTTTTCTCCTGTGGTTCCAAGTCTTCTTGCATAATTAAGATGGTATAGACGGCTATTTATAGCGAGCAGTGGTTGCTGTTGGGTCACAGTCAGTGTATGTGGAGAACATAGAGGAGAGGGTTGGAGCAGGGAGGATTTGGCTCCAAGCTCCTGCTGCTACGCTGTTGTTTTAGTTCAGGTCATAAACTAGCTGTAGTTTTCCCGAGCATTGTGGGAGTCTAATTTGTATCCTGCACATATCTCCTGTCTTTTAGGTTTTCTATATTTTATATTTGCTGGTTTTCTTTCATTTTTAGGTGATTAATTCATTATTTGGGGCGTTTCAAGTGGTTAGAAGCATGTTGCTTGTCTTTATTTCAATAGAATGAAATGTTCTGTTTGTTTTGTGATTTTTTTTTTTTTATTACAGATTAGTTATGCCCATTTTTTATATTTATTACCTCTGATATTTGATTGGCAGCCAAATACCGTACAATAAGATTTTTTTTTTCAGTGGAATCCGCTTATAGTTGTCACGGATATAGTAATCAACCGCTTATATAGATCAAAAGGCTTGGGACAGAATCATTTCTATACAAATGCTTTTTAAATCCTTTGTTTATAGTAATCAAGAAATCCACTTCTAGTGTTCATTTTTGGCCATTTTATGAATGTAAACATGTGCAAAAATAACTTTAAAATTACATGTACATCTCGGAGGTACAAGAGCGAAGAAGAGGAGAAGAGGAGACTGTATTCCCTTCCAGAGCTGAGATGAGGAATGCTGTTTGCATATTAGAGACTGGTCTCCTGCATGTTGGATTAAAAAACTTGAACCTTTTTAACGTTTTCAAAAAGAAGTGAACTTGGTGTTGGGCAACACGCTGATCCAGGGAACCATGGATAAATATGTAAAGTGATTTCCTAATGCGGCGCAGCAGATCCGCAACATAAAACAGACGTAGGCTAGCTTTAATTTTCTGTAGCCTATGTAGTTCTTTTCTATGTTGTTCTATGAAACCATTTGTTTCAAACTTTATTTTCAGACACGTTAAAAAAAGAGCCGACGCACATAATAAGTTACATAGGCCTACTATTAGAGTTATGTCTGCACACAGCGCAGTATACTGTAATTAAACTTGAATGGTACCGTAATAAAATTCAGTAAATGCATAAGCTATCTGTTTCATTACATTTTTCTCATTGAAAAACCATAAAAATAGATATTAGATGATATTCTGCATAAAAAAATAAGTGAAATAACGGTAAATTCAGTTTTACTTATCAACCACTTATAGTGTTCATATTGGCTTTGGACCAACGTGACCACTAGAAGCGGATTCCACTTTATTTAAAAAATAATGCATAAAATCTAAGATGCATTAACAGGATCTTATCTGTCCTGTATTTTCTTTTCAATTTAAAAAGTATGCATCCATGGAAGAACTTTCTGGGCTTTTTTTTCCTGTCTAGGTGAAAGTTCATTGAATAAAACAGAAACAGAATTGATCAAAGGCATAATCTGCAAAAAATTGGTATTGATTAGGGCTGGGTAAAACAAATCGATTTGAATCGATTCCTTTACATTTTTTCAAAATCCATGTCTAGGGAATGAGATCGATTCATTTTATAGTGACCCGCGTGATGTTCACAGAGCAGGAAAGATGTACTCAAGATGACTTCAAGCCAGACAGCTGCAAATATCACCAATAGGTTGACTGAAGACATTAAGAAATGGGGGCTGACCAGCAAACACCCTGTAGTTGTTACAGACAACGCTGCCAATATGGTTTGTGCAGTGAAGATAATGCAGCTCATGCATGTCTGCTGTGTCCCCGCTGTGTCATGTCTGCTTGCTCGAGTGAGGCTTTTTCACTTTTCACAAACCAGTTTGCACTTTTGAGACAGTTTTGTTCACATCTCATGTTTAAACTGTCTGATTTACAAGTTTGCACTTTGTATTTAATGTGACAAGGAAAAATAAAAAACATCAGTATTTTGAAACACAGTTGAACCATTTTCATTATTGTAAAAACAGAATCGAATCGAAATTAATCGATTTAGAACTGAATGAATCAAAATCGAATCGATTCAGGACTTTGGCGAAAATACCCAGCCCCAGTATTGATCACAAAAATCTTGTTGGGCGCAGAGTTAAAATGAACCGACAGATTTTAAACTTCTTCTTATTTTCAGGGGTCTGGCACAACTTTGTTCTGTGTGTGGCAGCGCTGGCCGTCCTCTTCCTGCTGCCGGTCCTGCTGTTTCCCATGTACACCACCGGAGTCGGGGCTCTGGTTACAGAGGTTGTTCAGGTGAGTCCAGCAGGTTCCTCTGTGCAGCATAACCTCTCCCTTTGGTGTAGCTTAGCAAAGAAAAACCAGTGACACCGCTTTTAGTGAGCAGTCTGTCAGTTAATGTGGCCTTACTGCATGCTTTACTCTGAGAAGTATACTTATATACTTCGTATACAGCCCCTTCACAATATCAATGTGTGCAAAGTTAAAGGAAACGGAAGATTAGAATTATGAACGTGTGAGCAGTTTGTATTCAGCCTCCTGGGAACTGGAGGGAAGCGGAAAGCAAATCCTCTGATCAGGTGAGACTATAATGAAACTTTTTTAGGGAATAGAAACCATCAGCAGACATGCTGTAAACAGTTCCTGACCAAAGGTCGCAGCTCCAGGATCGTCTTGCTGTTTGGCTGACCTGTAAAGGTGGCGCTCCGATGTTCTGTAAATGATGACAGTGGCATCTATGTTGCTGCTATATCAGGGTAAATTTACACTTCACCGTGTCTTTTTAAACAAAAATGAAATATTTTACCTTCTGCTTTATAGCGTCTTTCCTCTGAGATAAACAGTTTGGCTAAAAAACACAAACTTCCTTCTCCAAAGTGGTGCAGGTGTTTGTATTTTGCTTCCTTCAGCATTGAGCATCCTTGCAGAGGGCTGCTTCCCTTTATGGTTGAGATTCAGTTTAGCCCACAGATTACTCTGAGTTCCATGTTGATAATAAAAGCTGATACCTGTGCAGAATTATAGAAGCGCATTAGCAGGTTTTTTTTTTGGTAAACAGGAAGCTGTTGGATCGAAGCTAGTTGTATATTTTAGTTTTCTCCTCAGCTGCAGTTTGGGAATGTGTTTATCAGGCTCTGCATCTTCCACAGTTTCCAAACAGCTGAAATGTGCAGGACAGAGTCCAACAAAGATCTCATTTGACATTTATTCCCATTTGAACCAAGTGGCTTTTTTTTTCCCCTTTCAGGGCTCTGCAGCTGATGGACCCAGGGGTCTGTCAGTCGGGGACATCGTGACGGGGCTGGAGGACTGCTCTGTCAGGGGAGTGGAGGACTGGACCAGCTGCCTGTCTCAGCTCTCCCACGCACCACAGACGGGATACTGCGTCCCAGCCGCCAGCCTGCAGCCCAGCTGGGCTCACGGCAGACGTGAGTGGCTGCTCTGTCTTTAGGAAACTCACAGGATTATTCACACATTTTGTCTCATTAACACCTTGAACCTCAATGTTTTATTGGGAAATGATGCGACTTTCCAGCTCAGATCAGGCTGGTACCTAAATTCTACTTAGTTGGGTGCTAGTTACTAATTAGGTTGGCTTTTTATTTGCGGTAACAGAGTAAACAGGGTGACAAGCCAAGGCTTTTATTTTCAGATTTTGTTCTAATTGAAACCCACATCTAATTTTCCTTTTATACCACAGCTTTATATAATGTCACATATAAAATCATCCAAAAAATTTTTAGGTTCAACTGTGAGAAGGAAATATTTTGGGAGATTTTACTCCCCAGCTGACGTACGACAAGTCTCAGTCGGCATATTTTTTGACCTCGTGCTATAATCAAAGTTTTATATTCTCTGGTTATGATCCCTGTGAAGGGAAAAAAATAAAAAGCTCAGCATCCAGAGGGAAAATGTACGATTTGTCGGGTTCAGAAAAGTTTGGAATATAAATGCATGGGAAAACTTTTCAGACTCCATTTCAGTCCTTCCTGTTTTCTGTTGGTTCATCCATCAGTTTGTTCATACTTTGATCCATTCCTGTCTTCTCTGTTGGTCTATTTATCCGTCCGTGGGATGCCAACATATCTTTAAACATTTACTCAAAGACATCTGGTGTGGTGGAAGTAGTTCAACCCACACCTGTAGAAAAAAAATAAGCGTTCCTTAACATTTATAAATATACTGTATTTTCCTCACAGTAAGGCATGAGTCATCATCTTGCTTCCTCCACTTCCGCTGTGTTTCCATTAACCAAGAAATTGTAGTAACAATAATAAATACGTTAAATGGAAACACTGCAATTTTGAAAAAAACTCAAATCCTTTTATTAAATGTTTTTACGATTCCATGGGTTGGTTTATCAGTTGCACAGAAATTCTTATATTTTGCAAAATGGAAACACTTTTTTTTTTTTTGCATTGAACAAGTAACGTTATCAAAAAGTAACGTGATCTGCAATCAGACCTCACCGCCTTGGAAAAAGAATAAGAAGAGCGGAAGTAGTTGGAGGATGATGGATCCCACTCGAGATGTTTCAGAAATATGGAAATATTTAATGCATCATCACATCAGCTTTTGCCACGTTTGTTTTCAGACCAATTCCTGTGCAACTTCAATTATATTAGCTATTTATTGGAAATACCCTCGTAGTTAAGCTTTGCATTTTCAAAACTAGCAGAATATCGACTTAGTCTTGTGCACATTTGTAATAGAAATGTAACTAGAGATTCATTACTGTTGAATTCTCTTGCAGCATCTCAGTTTCCTTGCTCTACATCTTGACTGATAGCCTTGAGATTGAAACCGGAGTCATAATAATGTCTTTTAATGGATGCCATTTTGGGATCCTTATACTCAACCTGTAATGTTATGTTGAGCTCAGTATGTATCACTCCTCCATGCTCCTGATTATGGTAGCTGTGGCTTTGTTGTTTTTATTGTTTTTAGAAAGTTAAGTCTTTAAGTTTGCCTTATAGTGCGGGAAAATACGGTAACCGTGGCAGCAGAGGACAGACTCTCAGTGAAGGATTTATTAGAAAATGATGCAGCGCAGACACTTTTTTTATGATGTATGTTGTTGTTTGACAGTTAGGCTGACAATGGTTGAATTATTCCAACCGTATAAATATCAGACGGAATCCAGGAATAACCTGAGTTTGCTAAAACCCTCCATGCTTTCCTCAGGCCCCTTTTCCTCTATAGCTCATGATGTTTTGGTTTATTCTTTCGGAATTTTCTGTGCCTATAGTTGCTGACCAAACAGGAAATGGGGTTGATTGGTGCTAAAAATTTCTTGTTTTTTTTCCCTGGTAGCTTTCAAGCGTCTGGATGGAACGATGGACTGCTGCAGCAACAACAGCCTGACAGACCTCTGCTTCTCCTACATCAAACCACAGGGGAGGAACAGCAGGGAGAGAGAGGTGACACACACTCACACACACACACACACACACACACACACACACACACACACACACACACACACACACATAGAGTAGTGCACCCAGGCTTGTCTGACAGGTTGAGCGTGTGAGGGGCAAAATTTAGACTGCTTCCTGGTTCTGCTGCTCCATGTGGAATAAATAAGTGTCGATATTTGTGCTGTGCAAAGGAAAAAAAGGGGAACAGGTTGAGTCAGAGTTTTCCTTCATCAGTGACTCGGTTCTTGGTGTTTTGTTAACATACAAAAATAACCTGGATCTGTTTCCTTTGACGCCTTTTGAATGTGAGACTTTTTCTACATTTCCTGTTATTTTATGCACATAATTGTAAAGATCTGCAGCCAAGACCTCATGTGCTCATCTTTCCAGGGTCCTGGATATTTTTTTTTAAATCCCGAGACTAACTTTGAGGGCTTTTTTTCCCCCTGGTCTGGATTCAAATTATAGACACAAGTCTTTTCATTTCTGTTCAACCTTCATAATTAAAAATACTCACTCATTGTTTTCTCTTTTGATCCTAACTGCGGAGATCAGCAGCAGGTATTTAGTGGTGCTGAACATTTGTGCAAAAAGTACCGTTTAAATCATCGAAACAGTTTATTTTCCCCTTGAAATTTTCTCCACCTTTTTTTTAAGAGAAACTGTGCATTTCACTGAGATATTTTAGAAACGTGCAAATGAATGCCTAATTGTCTAGTGAAAGTAAAAGTGCTGCAGTTACAGCTGCAGGTGGGGATCAAAGTTGGACCATAGTTCCCCTGTTTCCGTCTGTTTGTGTTGTTTTCCTGCTGGACAGTAAACCTCCTTTTCAGTCTCACAGCTTCTATTGTCTAGTATATTTAGAGATGTTAATACTTTTTTTTTTACAATATTTTTAATTGGTACTTCCTTTCTTTATTTCAGTTACTTTTGCTTATTTTTGAGCCTTTCTTCTTTCTATTGGTTATTATTTAGTGAATGTTTAATTACTAGTGTTTAAATCATTATTTCACAGTATTTTATTCATGTTATTACATATAAACGTAATAAAGACTCAGCCACAAAATATCATTTTGAAAAATGCCTCAATTACTGCTGACAAGCGGACAGTTCCAAGATGGCAGACTCGGCTAGAAAATATGCTTTAGTCGCCGCTTTAAATTGTCCGTAGACTTTGGACACATGTGACCTTTATAATATTAACTCACATTTTGTTACGCAATGGAATGTAGATAAAATCTCAGTCACATGCTCTAATGTGTTGATCCCATGCTTCATGAACATATTTACCAAAGCAGCCTCCTGTTTAAACCTCATTAAGGGGGTTTTGAACTATGATCATTTGTTTAAGATATTTGATCAGTTTTTGCTTTAAGATGCTTGATTTTATGTCTTGTTCTGGAAGAAATCCTGTTTCGTTTTCTCTCTACTCCTAATCCTATCATCTGTTCAGGCCAGCATAGTGACCAAAATGTAACATACAAAGTCTTATCAAAATCTATTGTTTGTTCTTTAAAATTACTAAAATAAAATAATAAAATTATAAGAGAAGGTCCTATTGCTGGATCTACTTTAATAAAGTGGTAATATAATGAAACTAAAGTCATAGATTTAGGTCTGAGAGTTATAGCATAGGAGAAATTACTTTATTCTGTGTTTAACTCACATGTTCTAACGCAGCGGTCGCCAACCTTTTTTGCTCCACGGACTGACTATATGTCAGACAATATTTTCACGGACCGGCCTTTAAAGTGTGGGGTGAAAATACGATCAAATAAAATGATACGATTGGCATAAAATCAGATACAAACAGCATAAAA